GGCAGTGTGTGGATCCAAAGGGTCCTTCATCAAATATTAGTCAGATGATTGCTTGTGTTGGTCAGCAAGCAATCAGCGGTCATCGCGTACCCAACGGCTTCGAGGACAGGTCGCTGCCTCATTTCGAAAGAATGACCGCTCCCCCCAGGCGCGAGGATTTGTGGAGGACGAGCTTTTATTCGGGACTCACTCGACTGAGTTCTTCTTTCACACTATGGGAGGTCGAGAAGGGCTGGTCGACACGGCTGTGAAGACTGCTGAGACGGGATACATGCAACGCCGCCTGGTGAAGTCCTTGGAAGACCTCTGCTGCCATTACGACAGGTCTGTTCGCAACTCATGTGGTGAAGTGGTACAGTTCTGCTATGGGGCCGACGGTTTAGACCCTGCCTCTATGGAAGGCAAAGAGGACAATCCAGTGGACTTCGGCCGAGTCATGGAAGTGATGCGCGCCCGGAACCCACACCGGAACGAACCTCCGCTGGACATGGATGGGATTCTTCAGCTTTCTAAGGAGATTCTGGGGGGCCAGGGTATGAGTGTGTGTGGAGAGAGCTTTCGAAACGATCTTAAAGCCTTTCTGACCACATATGCTAAGGGCGTTGCAGAGATGTATACCTTGTATAAAGTCAAGGAAAGAGACATTCCTGTGCTGAAGCAGCTGAACCGGTTGACAGCATCACAGCTACGTAAGCTTCTTTGACACGTGCCGAGAAAAATACTTGCGTTCAGTCATGGAGCCCGCCACGGCTGTAGGAGCCGTTTGTGCACAGAGCATTGGAGAGCCAGCAACACAAATGACGTTGAAGACTTTCCACTTTGCGGGAGTTGCTTCCATGAACATCACTCAAGGTGTGGCCTCGGATAAAGGAAATCATCAATGCGAGCAAGGTATGTTTTTGGTGTTGCTTAGAAGTTAAACACTAGCAAGTCAGTACTAAAGAACAAAAAAGGGGTTCATCATGGTCATCATAAGTCTGAAAATAAAAATGTTTTATAAATATGTAATGTCATTATCTGAGACCTAGACGCGTCTTCCTGTACAGAAGCTTCATGGATAGATGAAACAAAATGTGAAAATTTTATTTTTGTTAGAAAATGACCTGTTAGAGCAGAAGATTGTAGTTAAATCAACTTATGACAGCGACAATTATGCCATGATACTCATTTCGTGGTACTCCTTTTGTGGACTTGGTTCTTTATGTGGGGAAAAGCCAGCAAATCTGGCCTGCTTCAGTTTTTTTCACCTTGTATTCATTTGATTACCTGTAGCTTTCTATGACAGAAATACATAAGCACAGCTATTGCATCATCTGAAGTATGTCATGAATTCTAGTAGCGTTTTCATGAATTCATGTCATGAATGTCATGAATTCTAGTAGCAGGATGCCTACTATAGGTAGAATTCCCATATTCGTCGTTTAACTGAGGTGAAATGTGATCTGAAAAAAAAAAAAATTTTTGTTAATTGTAGCAAGAGCAATGAAACATTTGCTGTATATATAGGCTTAAATGTTAATATAGTTAGTTTATTGTAAGTTGCACAATTTTCATTTTGTCGCCACTAAACTTTAATGGTTCTGAAGCCATTAATGACTCATATTACTCCATATTAACTGGTAAATGTAAATGACTATCAACAAAGTGCATATATAGACATTTTAATGGACAAGAAAAATTTTAATAAGACTCTTAGAATCTTCAGACCATACTAAGTGCTTACTTTAGGATCATAATAACTATACAGGCACTATCAAATTTTAAACAAGATGGGTTGCGCTATTCAGATGTTAGGAATAAGTTGGCAAAATTTCATCCCGATACAAGTACCAAGAACATGATGTCCCAAACTCAAAAAGTTACCCAAAACTGCATGTTGAGAAAAACTCATTTTAAAGGTATAAGTGAAAGCTCACCACTGGAAAAAGATAGGTTGTTTTAAGATTGTCTCTTCTATTGTGAGAGCTTGGCAATCGTTATTTTGAACATGTAGCTTTAGTGAATTCCTGATGCAAAATGTAATGATAAGCAGCGAGGTGAAAATTTCCTGGAGACTCTAGACAACGAGCTCCTTCTAGTTTTTAGTAGCCACTTTGTGCTCTTTAAAAGAAATTTTCACCTACTTCGAGTTTAATTACAATATCCTGTTTGTTGTGAAAGTAGAGAAACTAAGCTTTTGAAAGAAACTAAAAGCACGAAATATGTAATATTGAAAAAGAAACTTGTATTTTGATTCAATACAATCTATTAGAGTTGCTTCCACAATCTATTAGAGTTGCTCACCTGTGTGTTGCAGAACACCAGGCTGAATGCAGGATATAGCTGCTTAATACCCAAACACAGATGTGTGGTTAAGGTTATTTAACAGATTGTATGTGTATATTTCATGCGAACATCAGCACGCCAATCATTACGGCTGCTCTGATGAATGACACAAATGCAGAGTATGCCCGTCGCGTCAAGGGTCGCATTGAGAAGACATGCTTGGTGAAGTGTCAGAGTACCTGGAGATTTTTCTCTGCCCGATGACTGTTTGTGCGTGTGAAGCTTGACAGAGACCGTATTCGACTGCCTGTAAAAAACGCTGGAGGTTACGGCAGACACATCCGTTACTCAATATCATTAGTACAAAACAGCTCAAAAATCAAGAATGATGACATCAAGCCATTGGTAGCTCCTTGCTGACCATTCGACCGAACGCCACTTCTAAGACGTCTCTGTACTACTCGTTGCAAAACCTGATGGAACAGCTGCCAAAGATCGTCATCAAGGGCATTCCGAGCAGCTCGCGAGCTGTCATCCACGCCGACGACTCCCATGGAAGCACCAAGTACCGGCTTCTGGTGGAAGGGGACGGCCTGCGGGACGTGATCGCCACCTACGGTGTGGAAGGCATAAAGACATCTTCGAACAACACATCCGAGGTCGAGAAGACGCTAGGCATTGAAGCTGCCCGAGCCACAATCATCCGGGAGATCGCCACCACAATGCAGAGCCATGGAATAAGCGTTGATCGGAGGCATCTCATGCTCCTCGCGGACCTCATGACCTTCAGAGGAGAGGTGCTGGGCATCACCCGGCATGGCTTGGCACGGATGAAAGAGAGTGCACTTATGTTGGCTTCATTCGAGAAGACGGCGGACCACTTGTTTGACGCTGCATACTATGGGCAGACTGACGAGATATCGGGCGTCAGTGAGAGCATCATCTTGGGTGTCCCCATGTCCATTGGCACAGGATTTTTCGACTTGGTGCACAAAGTGGACTGGCGGCCTCTGGCTGCACCACGCCAGCTCATTTTTGATCGCAGTGAATTTCACATTAAGCTAGGCGAAAACTGACAGAAGTTGCTTGTGCTCGATGTACTTCGTTGAATCTAAGTTATTTTCTCTGTAAAATTGGTGACAAGTGTCAGTATAGATTAAGCAATAAAAAGCCATTATTCAAATAGATGTTGAAAATAATTTACCGTGCAGTGACTGGCTTTTGTTGTGCCTTCCAAAGTGGGGTGCGAGTTGTAAGCTCTTGGCTTACTGTAGTCTGTTATTAAAATATAGGCAGATTAACAGCAGCGCATGCTTATATCATTCTTTGCTTTTGTGTGTATATACATTCAACATACTTAGTGAAGAAGCCAGTTTAAGTTTATACTTACAATATATCTGCATAAGCAGCACATCTTTGCAAATCTCATCACTGAATTCATGTTCACATGACAATGCAATCCAGGAGCCACTATTTTATGCTTTATTTCAAATGTAGAGGGTCTCATATCTTATTAACGGCAAAATTACGATACAAATCTGGATCAACAGGTATATCTCTGAATAGAAAGAGCACTGATCAAGTTTTTCTAGGGCCAAATGCTTGGAACTCCTGAGCCAATGGTATTCCCAAGATGTGTCTGGGATTTTTATTGATTAATTGTGTCTAAAGGCATTAGAGTGGACATAAAGAAAAATGCAAATAGAAAAAAAAGTGTGCTCCACTGGAGCATGAGTGCTGCATGCATGAAGGGAAAGACAAGAACAAAGGTTGGGTTGAGTTTAAAATTTCTGCTAAAGTATTCAACTTGAAAAGTTCCGTAAACTTTGCTGTGAACAAAGATTATACACTGAATGAGATCATGTAGGAGTTTAATCTTAAGAAGACTTATTGACAATTATGCTCTTAAGACATGTACTGTACAGCAAGAGCGAAAAGAGATAGATTGGTAGCAGTTAATAGGCTGATAGCACACTGGTAAAAAGTACTGCAAATGTGTTCTGCGAAAACACGCAAGGTAGGGGAAGGGTTAAGAAAGAAAAAAAAGAGAATGACCCTTTTGTAGCATAAAGCCACAATAAAATCCGTGCGACACGGGCAGTGCCTGCTAGCGAGTTTCTTGATTGAAAAAACAACAAAAAAAACACGATTGCTCCCGTTACACAACCGTTCACTGGCCACCCAGTATATATAGGCTCTGGATCTTGACCTCCAGTGTTGTGTTGGTGGGAGATTTTTCCTGTGCGTTGTTGAACAATAAAAATTAACAGTGTGTGCGTTAACTAAATGTGGACTGCAGGTTTCCGTCCAATAGGAGTCTTCCGTCACCCATTGCCAATTAGCAGCGATTGGTATGTTCCAGTGGGAAACACCAGTCCATCACTGCATGCTTTTTGCTTCCCTAGGTTCTCTCTCCTGAGCAACGACTGCGATGGGCGCCAGCCTAAACGTCGCCGCAAGTGTAAGAGTTGGCGCCCGCTGCTTCGCATCTGCACATGGTTCCCTTTAGCGGGAAATGGTGTAATTTTTTTAAGTAACCTGTATAAAGAAAGAAGTGGAAAGTCAAGGGCTCGTTTTTGTTAGGATAAAGAGCAGACGAGGCTACATTGTGCTGAACATAGCAGCACTCGTAAGAACTTGAGTAGACATGCATTTATTATGTACACTATCCCACACAATGGCAAATGTATTTCTATTGACCTAAGGAATCTCGGGCACTAGTAAGTCGCTTTGCTCTCACAGTCCACAGCGGTGTCCAGCTTACGTTGTATTCCGTTAAAAACTGATCCAGTGTCATCTTGTCGAGCATATTAACCTGGAAAAAAACAATTAAGAAGGACTTTGTTACAGTGGTTGTCTGCATGGATGATGGTTGCCTTTAAATGGTACAACTACTACTTCGAAGAACTCCCGAGCTGCATTCTGCGCATAAATCACAAGTGCAGCATTTTTGGTGCTTTCTAAGGATCCTAAGCTACATGGCCACAATCGCAAGCAAATCACCGACCATAAGCATGCTGCATTGCTCCGATATGATCAAATTAAAGTTAAAATGGAGGGATGGAGCTCTGAATACACACTACCATGATGATCCCCTATGGACATGCTTTACTGAAAGCTAACTCCCGGCTACTACATGCAACAAAACTTAAAACAAACTAGAATCGTGTTGATCAGAGGTGAGAAGGGAACTAGATTATGAATGACACACACCTGTTTTCGCACATAGTGCACAAGAGTCTCCAATGCCACGGGATCCCTGCCTTCACAGGTAAGAAGCACACGCCAAAGGGCATTGGCCAGTGCCTTGTCATCTCCTTGGAGACCCTGCAGATAGTGTCCAAGTGACGCTTAAAATGTATTGTCAAAGACAGTGCACACAAAAAGCAGGTTTCCCAATGACAGCCTCTATTGTTTTATGATTATTGGAATTACTCTATTTCAAGATGGTCTTCCTCAGGCAACTGAAGCAAGAAAAAATTTTATGAGGTAACAAGCAATAAGACTGAACTGCATTTATATTTTTTTAAGCATCCCACACGTGGCTCCAAAAACCATGTTTAAGCGTCACTAATGTATGCTGTTTTCTATTTTGTTTTTAAATGGCTAATGTAGCAATGTAAAATATTGAAAGTCTGATTCTCAAGTGAGTCACTGAAATTATTAAGACCAGACTGAATGAATGAGTGAAGACGGCCACAATTCCGGTCAACGCAGTCTGAAAGGCCAGGCCTGAGTTGTTTCCAAAGCTCTGGTTCACATTTGCTACAGGCGTTGGGTGCAACCACATGCTATGCGTGTGAATGCTAGTCACCCTCTACACAACGGACACTCATGCATACAGCAGGTAGGAAACGTGGCATTTAACATACCAAGAAGCCAAAAATCTTGCGGTGAATCCTTTGCCAATCTGTTGTCTCCCTCCTACTGAGGCATGGTACGAATTTTTATAATTTGTTGCACTAATAATCAAGGAACTCTGGTGTGGTATGTGTGTGAGAAGGGACGCGAGAACTGGTGTGTTGAGCATGATTTGCCAGTGGTTGCACCTCCGTATCCACATTCCTATTACCCTGTAGGTATGACATCCCTGGACCAATTTTGTCGTTTTTGTTAATGCTTTGCAGAAGTCGTATGCAGGCTCTAGGGGCATGGCCCTTAGTGTACATCTGGTGCACTGCTTAAGAATCTGTAATGAATATTGTACTTCTTTTACCGTACTCGGCGCTCCTATTCACCAGAGCAGTCGCCTATAAGTTTAATTTACTGCTGCAACATTCTGTGTTTCACAGAGTTCACTCCCAAACAAAAAGGCAAAGCTAAAGTGAATTAACTGAAGCAAATATTCGACTTTCTACGATGCAGTAAAATGAAATAAGGCATCATGTATTTATGTTCCGCCATGCCAACAACTGGACCCAAGTTTTACCCTGTGGCAATCTGACGATATGTGATTGAAATTTGCCTATTACGTGTCATAGTTAAGATTGCAGGTGATTAAACAAGCATCAATCATGTGATGACCTGGTAAAAGAGGTTATCAGCTACCATTATAAGAAACTTGTTACTGAGTTCTTTACAAAGTGCAGTTGGCCACTCACCAAGAGCCGCACGACCGAAATATTGGGTCACAGACGATGTGAAGCACGCAACTCGAGCTCCAAGACATGAGAACTTACCTCGTCGTACAACATCAGCATTGCGTTGAAGTGGTCGCTCAGGTCCGCTAAGCATTCTCTCTTTATTGGAGTTGGGCGATAAGGGGTCGAAAGAGAGAGAGATCAAAATAAACAAGAACAAAATGTCATCACGCAAACACATGGACACACGAAAACGGTCCACTGAGAGTCGTTCAGACAGGGCAGTAGTTCGCTGGAAGCCCTGTGGCGTTTGCACGGTCTTATTCTGCGACGTTGAGTCCGGACGATAGCGTAGTATTCTTTCCTCTGATAGTGGAGGGTCATCTAACTTGTTGAGTGGATTAGAAATTTCTTTTGCATGCTTCATTCCGGACATTTGCTAATCTTGGTGAAACGTCAATTGTGTTTACAGTGCTGACTATTTCCATTTTATAAACATTACATATTTACCCCTATGATGCAGCTGTCACGTCGCGTTAATGTCACTTGTAGTTAGGCGCCATAAACTGAAGTTGATTCATGTAGCTATGTCCAGGGCTACCAGCCTCGCGAGCACAAGCGCTACATATCAGCTTACCGCTTCTGGCGTTGCTGATACCCATGTCGCTGTTGGCATCGCTACGCAGCTCTAAACGACTGGTTATGTAAAACACAGGTGACTATTCAACTTATCTCTGTGTGTACTACATGTGTACGCATCTTTAGCGACACTTCATAACGTTTCGCTCAATAAAAAAATTACAGCACAGTCACCTTCCATTCGCATGCTTTGCATAACATCGATTCCCATGGTACGTGGGATCAGATGAATTTTTCCAGGCTTGCATATTTAAAGAGAAAACATAGCTAGAAACAGATGGAATGTTGCTGACGACAGCACAACTTGAGAACAACTCGCAAACTGTTGAGATGAAATTGGCGTGTCACATAAGTAAGACCATTCTTTACCAAGGAGAAGTACAAGGCGCCTTTCTCACGGCTGCACATTGTGTTAATTTATGACCCCCACCCTCCCCTCCCTGCCTTTTCTCTCAGTGCAAGGGGTCCCTCATATTAGCACCAGTCCACAAGGGGTCCCCCAAAAAATCCTTTACGAGATCCACTGGCATAGGAGTTCACATATGTTACCGCTGACCCAGATAGCCGTTCACGATCACCAATCGTTAAGTGAGCCCGTGTTTTGCTTACGTCCTTTCTGTTCAGCAAAAAGAGGCTGAAATGATAGCCATCTGTACCCAGTTTTCTTCGCTCCTTTTCAAAATCAGTATCGGGGCTAAGGCAAGACAAGGAAAAGAAACGAAGCTCAACAGAGAAGCATCAAATGCCTCATCATTAGCCCATTCAGAGCTGTCGCAGCAAGTACGGCACCACTGCAGCCTATCGTGCTAGCCCCGGTGCTCCATAAAGTGGAACGCAGCACTTTATTGTTAGTATTTCAGTTAGCGTGTTCGTGTTCGCTGTGCCCACCGCGTTAACAAGTGTCTCTACGTTGTCCTAACGTACGCGGTGTCCCACATGAGGACATTCTTGAGTGCGCGAGTATGCTCGTTGTCGTACACGACGTCTTGCACGCAGGGCACTCCTGTCATGCGGAAAAGCCTACTTTCAGCTATTTTCCTCTCGCGGCATGTTCGTTCGTCGAGGATTGGGCAAGTTAGTTCGTTCTTATAAGAAGGAAAGACAGCGCAAAATTCAGACAGGACACAAAAGGAAGATGGAATGACAACAGTGCCGACTTAAAACTCATAGGCTGGGGATTGTTAGCATGCTCTTACGAATATTGCGCAGTTTTCCCCTCTTATTCGCCCATTCGATCGTGTTAGTGTAACGCGAAGACATGAGGACGTACTACGCCGGCGCCATGGGTGTGAAGGGCTCAAAGCTCAGGGTGTGAACGGCTTATGTCTACAGTTACTAGGTTGAACGCCTCATTCGCTCTCCACAGCTGACTGTGGCTCTTATCTTTCGGAGGGGCCGCTGCTACTGCTACGAGTCTCTGATGTCCTTGTGGTGATGACGACAACGACGCCTGCAGGCACCGCTGTCCTTATCGGCCGCCTGCCTGTAGTATAATAAAGAGAGGTGATGATCGCGCTGGCGTCGTAGCGTCCCGGACGCGGCTCTTTGCGGAGATGTTTGCCGTCGCGCCTCGCTTCTTTTACGAGGTGGTGACAAACTCTTGCGGCTTGCCAGTCACGTGCGATTTTGCGCGTTCGCGCCGTGTCGCGTGTTGCAGCAAGCTACAGGTGTGCCCTACGATACGCGGGTGAGGTGATTACGGGAGATAAGAGAGCCGGGTGTTCATGTTGAGATTACTCTTACCCTGCTTATGCGACGAGAGGGCACCAGGCCCATATGAAGGCCGGTAAACGCGATAGAGATTTGAGGAAGCATTTCCAAAAATGTGTGCTTGTAAGAGCACGATAAAAACTCGTGTAAGATACCGACAGCTGAATTCGGAACCATCACTGTACCGATGAACTTGTCTGAACTATATGCGAAGTATGAACTACATCCATTCCTGTAGGAGTCCATATCGTTAACCACCTTTTCTGAACCCATAGCTCCATTGACAGTGTGCTCATACGTTCTGCGCCACGATGACTCCATCCGAGTCAGCGTAATTGAGTGTGAGGCCCATGGGATGACATTGTGCTATCCCATTGTAGAGTACCAAACAAATAGTTTAAACGTTACTAACTTTTTCTAAACAAATGGGGAGGCTCTCTATTTAGGGACACCTATGACAGCCTTTGCGAACGGACTGGGCTCGCTGAACAAGTGCTTGACAGACGTCGTAAATGAAATGAGTACATGCATGTTTGAGTGATGCTGTAACGCAACTTCACTGTGGAGGGACACCGATGACTATGCGCAGAGTTCACATATTAGATTCGATGCAGCTTTTAGACTACCCTGCGCAATGCTGTCCCTCTGCACGAACGCGCCGCCCGCCGTAGCTGTTGGCGCGGTGCCATGTAGGTTACGCCGCTGCTGCGCGTTGACGTCATTCTCTCCCTCGCTTGCCGCGCGCTCGCCGCGGCGCCCGCAACTCCTACCGCGACCGCCGCTCGCTGCACCGGCGACTCATCGGTTCACGCGCAATAAACCTGACGCGCGCCTAACGTACGCGTTGAAACATGTCTGTACGTGTCACCTACAAGACCTACGCCAGCCATCGCTTCAAACGAATCTTCCAGCACTCACCGCAGCACCCGCGTTAGCGCCGTTGAACCCGTGATGCCACTCTTGTGCAACGCTGGTGCTTCGCATCCCATCATGGTCCTTTTCAGGGAGACGGTTCAAGTTTTTCTTCTTAGGTTGCAGCCGGGTGTATAGCGACTCAGTGTAGCCACCATGCACGGTATATAGGAACTTCGTATGAAGCCCGTGTCGTATACTCGGTCATCGAGCTTTCCATCACCTCTCTATAGCGCTCTCCGATATCCTTGCTCCGAGCACATGACGTTCTTCCTTTTCGCTGCGACCATCCGTTCATTAAGGGGGTTGTTACGAGGCTTCATTTACCCGAAAGGCGATGCTAAGGCTTTTCCGAAATCTCCAGCACGCGCAGTACGGTCGTAAACAACTAATCTTTATAATGATCCATTACCTATGTATACGTCACTATATGGCGGCAGTACCAAAGGCGTGTATCATCAGTGTGCGCCTTGCGATACCATGTTATCTTTGTTTTGTTTTTTATCGGTTATGTTAATCCGGCCAAGTGGTGCTCGGCCATCATACGCCCTAACAAAAGGGGTCAGCTTTGGGCCGTTTATAGAGAGCCCACAATGCGGCGGTCAGGCCTGCCTCTCCCAATCATTGGGAGAGGCAGGCCAAGACTCATTTGCAACGGCTAGTGGGGCGCAACTGAAAGAACTTGATGTACACTCCGCTGCAAACTGGAAGGCAAAACCAGAAATTGGCCTTGACACGGAGCTGTCAATGGTGCAATGGAATCCTACAGAGAAGAAGGCATTTTACATCGGTGCAAGAGCCTTCTACATCGCCTGTGCCAAGCACTTGATCTCGAGGCTTCCACTCGACAACAAGCTGTTGTTTCATTTAAGGTTTTTAAACCCAGCCATAGAAGGGAGTTCGACGACTCCTTCGCTGCGCTATGTGGCTAACTCTCTGCCCCAAGTCATCCCACCCTGCGATGTGTCATCACTCACCGATGAGTAGAACTCCCTGATCTGTGAAGCCAATGACTGGGAATCGTCACCTAATGTAGTCACTCATTGGGTGAGCGTGTTCTCGCTACAGACGCCTGCTGGGCAGGCTAAGTACCCGAAGGTCACCAAGCTTGTGAAAGCAGTCTTGTCGCTACCTCACGATAATGCAGTGACTGTGAACGAGGGTTTAGTGAAAACAGACAGTGCACCATCGAAGCACATTGTCTATAGCAAGCATTTCTAGCCTTCGGCAAACCAAGGCCTTTATGAAAAGGTACAGTGGAGATGCTGAAAAGGTGCCTCTCACCAGGGACATCCAAAGAAGTGTTGAAAAGTCCCACAAGGTGTACCGGGAGCGAATTGAACGAGAAAACGCTGCGACGTCCCAGAAGCGAAAGCATGAGGAGGAGGAGCTAAGTGAACACTGCGAGCGAAAGAAGCTGATCAACGAGAAGTCGAGCCTCCAAAACCGACTGTAGTCTCTCAAAGCTCTGCTTGCAAGTTCACAAGAGCTTATAAGCGAAGGTCTGGCTGCCAAAGACATGGACAAAGTGGAGAGTGGCAATGTTTTGCTGGGGGATGTGAACTCTAAACTGCCCTCTGTGCTTGAGCAAATCAAAGCAGTTGACTTGGCTCTTCAGTCTATGAAGGCAACCTGAATCCTTGTGAAAATGGTGTTTGTGTGCACATCTCATTACGTGGCTGTGTTGTGTTTTTGTGTTTAGCGGCAAGGTGCTGCAAGCCAATTGCCACCTGTGGTTCTTTTGGCACTGATGTTTACTCTTGTGCATTGTCGTCGTGATCTATGTAAGTGGTGTTGCAGGAAAGTGCAATGGTTTGGTTCAGTACACATAAAGCTTTCCCCCATGATGTTGTGCTTTCCATCTGTTTTCGACTGAAATTATTAGCTTGTCTAAGGCAACTACTG